GTATTATAGTAGGTAGAGTGGTTGCATCGAAAGGAAGAGTGGTTGGGTTCGAAACCTGCTGTAGGCATGTAGTTATAAACATGTATTTCCGTCAGTTATGGGTAAGTATGCAGGTAGATTTTCAAAATTATAAGACACAGAAAATTTCTAAAGCCTACATCTAAAACAGGTAGTATTTTCTTTTCCCGGCTTGTTATAAAAAGGAACCTTTCTGTCTAGGTAAGATTTGATTTTTTCAATTTTGTTCCGAGTATAAATATGAGTTAATGCGCTTTGAAACTTCATAACATCTTCAAGGCTCGCCGGAGATAGTTCAGTTCATAAGTCTAATTTCAAAACCGTGATTTATTAAAAAAAATAAAATGAGTAAAAGGACGCGAGAATTTGAGTGTAATAAGGATCCAGATATGTTCTGTTTCATGTGTGGCCAATATACTATCATAAGGCGACGACGAGTGTTCTCAGATCATATCAAAACTTTATACTCCAAGTATTTTGGAATTGAGCCTAAAAATGCTGAAAAACCATGGACACCGAACACTTTGTGTACATCGTGTCGAGTAGAATTGATTCAGTGGGAATCAGGACAACAAACAAAATTTGATACACCAATGATATGGAGAGAACCTACTTGCCATTCAATAGAGTGTTATATTTGTCAAACAAAAGTACTTGGCGTTGGAAGATCAAGAGGAGTAACCTATGCTAGCGTACCTACAGTGACATTACCAGTACTACATTCAACGGCAGTTGCGGATCCAGTTCCATTGTCAACAGTAACATCTGAGTGCGGGGGATCAAGTTGTACTGAATTTCGCATGGAAAACGAAAGAAACGTTCTGTCACAAGCACAACTTAATGATTGGATAAGAGATTTGGAACTATCCAAGGAAAAGGCCGAGATCCACACTTCTCGTATGCAACAATTTAAATTTGTGTCATCCGATGTTAAGGTGACATATAGTAGAACTCGTCACGAACCATTTTCCAAACACTATACCAAGAAAGACAGTATATGCTACTGCAACGACATCCCTGGTTTATTCAAAGAGTTTGGTCAAACATATGATTCAAAAGAGTGGCGATTGTTCATAGACGGCAATAAACTGAGTTTGAAGGCTGTATTATTGCATATTGGTAACAAAAAGCCTTCTATCCCGATTGCACATGCAGTAAATACAAAGGAAACCTACGAGGAAATGCAAAAAATACTCAAATTTATCAAATATGAAGAGCATGATTGGAAAATATGTTCTGATCTCAAAGTCGTTGCAATGCTATGCGGTCTACAAAGTGGCTACACCAAGCACTGCTGCTTCCTCTGCAAGTGGGATAGCCGAGCTCGTAAGGACCACTACGTCAGAAAGGATTGGCCGGAAAGAGTCGAGTTTACCGTTGGTGTGGATAACATCAAATACACCCCTCTTGTCAAGAAAGAGAAAATCATACTTCCACCCTTACACATCAAGCTCGGTCTCATTAAAAACTTTGTTAAGGCTTTGGACAAAGAAGGCGAAGCATTCGACTATTTGAAAACAGTTTTTCCAGATATTTCTCAAGCCAAGATAAAGGAAGGTATTTTTGTTGGACCACAAATAAGAAAGTTGATCAACAATAATCAATTCAAAGGACTACTCTCATCAGTTAAGGCAGCAGCGTGGGAATCCTTTGAAAAGGCCGTTGCTTCTTTTCTCGGTAGACACAAAAGCCCTAACTACGAGCAGATAGTGAACGACCTAATCAATAATTATGCGAAAATGGGCGTAAATATGTCTTTAAAAATTCACTTTCTCCACTCACATTTGAGCTTTTTTCCGGCAAATCTTGGCGACGAAAGTGATGAACATGGCGAAAGGTTTCATCAGCAAATGAAATTAATTGAGAATCGATATCAAGGATTCTGGGACGTCGCAATGATGGGTGATTACTGCTGGTTTCTCATAAGAGAAACCAATCCTAAACTGAATAAGCGTCAAAGTAGAATACATAATTATTTCGACAACATAGTAAAATCAAATTCAGATAAAGATTGTTATAATATAGTATAAACATAAATAAATTTAAAAAAAAAAGTTAAAAATATGGGTAATTTCATTCATAAATTGAACTTTTAACTCGATAGAAACAGAGCATAGCTAGATATTTCACTCTTCTTTATACCATACATACGTTTTGAGGTATACGTTGAAATTGCGCAACCTGGGTATTTTTATTTGATCGCTTATAACTTACGTAGTTTTGCATCGATTTTCTTCGATGATACCTTATTTTTTTTGTAATATAACAGAGCTTAGGGAGAAAAAAAAAATCTGCAAAAAAATAAAAGGTTTTCGAGATCCTTCCCCGCAAACTACAATTTTTTTTATATTTTTACAAAAAAAATTGAAAAAATCGGTAATGATTGTTCGTTATCTTTGAATCTACAGGGCCTAGCAAAAAGTGTTGTATGCACAGCTTTTTAGAAAATTTTATTACCTTTTAAAAGCTTCAAACCGTTTTGGAATTGCTTAATTCGTTCTTTAGATATATATGATTAAGTGGACCCAATGTTTTTTTTTTTTGCAAAAACGGTAAATTGCAAATATCTCAAAAACGGTACCATAAAATTAAAAATAACCTTGATTTTCGGCCTCAGGGGGTGATTTTACATACGAATTTCATAACGGCGTCTCTGGTAAATTTTGGCCGTCGACCAGTGTTATCAATCAACAAGCAAAAGTAGAGACAAAAATTAAAAATATTAATCACTGCTTGAATTATTGATTTATTTTATTCTTATCCAAATCTCAAATTTTAAACATTATTTATTACTTTTAAAAATTTTTAAAAATAAACGACTGAAATAGTTAATGAATTTAATTTATTTTAATGAAAACTTATATTTTTATTTTAGTGCACTCAAAAATTCACTAAAGTATTCGTTTTATTTTCAACTAAAATGTTTTCTTTTCCATATTCAATATTATTAAAAAAGATAAAAAATATAGTATTTATTGTACCTTAAAGCTTTTACTTTTAATTTAATGGAAAATGCATTTAAATTTATGTTCGAAAGTTTGAAATATGTATGTATTTATTTTTCCTATTTATTTATACTAAAAAAATTTAACACTAATTATTGGCAAATCTAAGGCTGCTAAATAAAAATGTGTAATGTATTAAAATGTACATGTATCAAAAGTTTTTTATTGTATATTCTTGAATTCGTTGTATATTTTTGACATCGAAAGTAGTGGTTTTGGTCCATAATTGGACTAGTATTGTCCCCTTTTTTTAAACTAGTATGAGACTGGTATATTTCTGATCGAAATCTGACAATTGCCATCTCGTAGGACATCCCCATGTTAAAAATACCAGTTGATTGCATGGAAAAAAAGATAGTTGGCTGACTAGTTGGGCATGCGGTTCATAATAGTTGTGAGGTAGTTTGCAACTAGTACATTTGACTACAGGATACTTGCAGCTGTCCCGTTTATAAAGAGTTATGATGGATTAAAAAATCGGTCCCCAGTGTTGAGGAAAACCATAAATTACTGATTAATATTTTGTGCAACCGGTACAGAGGTTTTAACATAGTCCATTTTAATGCTCGGAGCCTGACATCCGAAAAGTTAGATTACGTTAGCGACGTGTTTGGTGATTCATCCTTTGATGTTATCTGTGTGACAGAGACGTGGTTCAATCGTGACATAACGGACTTCTTTTAGCACTGCCGCATTAGTTGGAGCTCGAATACACCCCATGTTGGCTTATGTCGCACTGTCGAAATCTAATCGTCACAGCTTGTGTTGCGAATTTTATTCGCTTAATCCATAAAGTATATGATATTTCGTTACTAAATATTTTGCTATAACTTAATATATTTTTCAAATATTAGTATTTCTTTTATCGAAATCCGTGCTAAATTTCACATAAATTCTACTATTATTTCGATGAGGCTCATTTTCTTAAACTCAACATATGTACTTTTTTGCGTATATTCTATTCTATTTTCGTTTTCATTAACCCAAACTAAATATTCGATAAATTGCCGTAAATTATCCGTTGTTTATCCGTGGGACTTCAAATTTTTTCGCAGGCTTGTCTTTAAAAAATATCGCTTCGACACCTTCAAAAAACCAAGTTTTTCACAAAGCAAAAATTCCTATCGGATAATTTGCCGTTAATTATTTATCCGTAAACTATCGGTGAAAAGAATAATTTTGCCGCGGACATATTTTAAAAAATATTGTAAAAATATCTGAAAACCAATTAAGGAAACCAGCTAAACCCAAACTAACTATTTGATAATTTTCTGTAAATTATCCGTTGTTTAGCCGTGAAAAGAATAATCTTGGCGCAGACATATTTTTAAAAATATCGCGTGCCCTGCTAATTTCCGTGGAAAACAAATTGCCGTATAATGGCCCTTGTCCTCAGGTGAGTGCTGAATTTCTTCACCTTCATATGCCACCATTGCAGTAAGGTGAAAGGTATTTCCATTCTAATCTGTGATCTTTTTTGGTAGTTTATTTAAAGCTATATATACTCCGCTTTCACTCAATGAGTATATCTCGAAACAAATAAGAATGCCTGTAAAAATTTTAATTAATTACATTAAACAGTTTTATTAATTATTTATCGCTAAAATTGATAAAATTCATGGGCTTCGCATCGAGCAATAGAAAATATATGCATCAGTATGTAAATTAGGGTGGTCCAAAAATGCATGTGAAAAAGTAAAGTCGGAATTTTTATGCTCTCACCCCCTAGGATTGTTCTATACCGAAAAAATATACCCTTATTTTTTATTTTGAAATCAAAAAATATTTAGAGGTCGCTCAAAGCGCCCAAAGTTTTCCATGTATTTTATATGGGGAAAAACCACTTTTCGTAGAAATGGTATAGAATAGTTAAAAACCGAAGATTAGACGAAGTAAAAAATTTTAGCTTTGCAAAACGCGCACATATTGACCTTTTTGGAATCCAATAATTTATTTTTTTCTTATTGTAGTGTATTATTGAGCGTTGTGTTCGCTCGCCCCCGCTGATTAGCGCTGCCGCTAAAACATCATCGAATACCGAAAATCACTTCTTATTCAACGTCCGAGTGGGAAAGGTGGTTTTTTCTGTGCTGGTGAGTTGGAGAAAAAATACTAAAAATAATTTACTGTGCTAAAGTGATCTTTGGTGTTGAGCTATCTACATAGATAATTTGTGAGTATCATATTTTTCGTTTCTAAATTTTGTGTGGAGTTGTGTTTTTTTTTTTTATTAAAAAAAATACCTGACAATAGTTGTGTGGCGTGGCGTGGCAGCGTCATCTGCTACCATGGCGGGGTCTGACCGGGAGGGATCCTCCAGGTCAAGGTCAAGAGTCAGGAAAAAGAAAAGAAGAGACAATGAGGAAGACGTGCGGATTCCTGGGCAAATGGAAGTGCAAATGAGTCAGATTAAACCAAACTCTAATCCTTTCAATAACAGTGGCCATGTAGCAGGTGACGCTGAAATGCAGAGCTGGGCTTACATGGAACAAATTGACGACCATGTGCTTAGTAATAATAGTGGTATGAGTGGTATGGCGGCAACCGGCAGTCCTGCCAACAATTCTAACCATGAGGTTAGGAATGAAAATCACGCTCATGTATACAACATACATGAAAGCTATGACTTACATGACGTACAGGATAAAACGGTATTAGGCAGACAAACAGAAGTAGGAGAGGGAAATCAAAAAAATGGCAAAAGCAAATGGCGGGAAACAAAACCTGTCAGTAGGAAATGACATTAGTAAGGGGCATGATGAAATGCGCCAAAATAATAAAAATGAAACTATTCTTTATCCACACGACCATAAAGGGGAAATATACGTCTTAATCGATACATCAAAATCGGAGTTAGTTAGGAACACGAGAATAAGGAATGGGTTATATCTGTGGAGCATGATCAAAGATTTGGGTTTAGAAGACATTGACACAATCAAAGCAATTGGGGTCACGCTCTACAAGCTAGGTATAACAAGCATTAAATCGGCAAATGAGATTTTGGTAAATGAAAAGTTAAAGGAAATGCAAATGAGGGCCTTTATCCCCAGAGCATTTATTGAAACCTATGGGGTGATTAGGGACATACCCCTGGAGATCACAGAAGAGGAAATAAAAAATGAGGCAATCTCTGATGTGAAAATAACTTCAGTACAAAGATTTATGAGACGTGAGAGTCGTGAAAGTGAAAACAGAATTCCGACCTATACTGCCAAAATTGGCTTTGCCTCAAATAACCTACCCAAAGAAATCAAGCTTAACCACACCATTATCGAAGTTGAGTACTTCTATCCCTACATAAGGCAGTGTTTTAACTGCGGCAGGTTAGGGCACACAGGAAAAGCCTGTAGGGCCAACAAAAGATGTTTAAAGTGTGGAAACCAAGGGGGCTGTGAGCAAGGGTGCAGTAATGCCAAGTGTATTCTGTGTGGGGAGACCAATCACTTGGCAAATGAAAAAAATAAATGCTCCAAGTGGGAGAAGGAAGAGGGAATCAGTAAGATTATGACAATTAAAAAGCTAACTAGGAGGGAGGTAATAAAGACTTATACACCTTTTGCATCGAATAGGTTTAGGCTGCTAGACGATGAAGATTTCCCTGCTTTGGGTCAATCTTCAGATGCTTTAAAAGATAGGGATGCGGAAGTTAACGGAATCTTAACGCCAAGAAACTATGCAGCTATACTTAGGCGTAAGCAATACAGAACTAGCCAGTCATCCAAAAATAAAGTCACTAAGGCAAATGAAGAAAAAAGTGCGGAGGCTAAAGCCAAACGGAAAAATGCGTCAATTGAAGCCTATGGGGTAGCATTAAGAAAATAAAACATACACATCGTATCCGAAATGGAGAAATTAGTTGCAGAGATGATAAAATTTGCAAGTGACGCCTTTAGAAGGATCGACTTTCAGGCAGGTGTAACTGCATTTGATCATTTTGATCAGAGACTAAAGAAATTCTGCTTAGATCTAGACCACAAATTTATTACAAGTAACCCACTTTCTACCCTTGAACAATATGAAGATACTACAACATAACTGTCAGTCTCTTAGGAAAAACATTAACCATATTGAATATTATGCAAACAACTATAACGTGGACATTTTCTGCCTGAGTGAAACTTTTACTCAGAACGAAAATGATCTCAAGAAAAACATTGTAAACTTTAATATGGTCAAGAAAAACAGAAATGATGGATATGGTGGGGTAGCCATCGGCTTAAGAAAATCCATCAAATTTCGTAAGATTATTTTTGATTCAAGCCACGATATATGCATTGTGCAAACATGCAACCTTCCACGGAACCTAGTGATATGTGCGGTCTACTTTGAGCCCTCCTTAAGCGTGGGAGAGTTCAAAGAAACAATCAATAAACTTTTTGGTACATTGGAAGTGTACAAAAATGTATTGGTATGTGGGGATTTCAATGCCAGAGCACATGAATGGGGCGATTTCTTTGAGTCTAGCAGAGGTAACTGGCTTAAAAACTTTATAAATAACTCCAGCTTTTACTGTCTTAACAATCGATCAATAACCTTTAAAGCAGATCTGCAAGCTACTAGGGGATCAGTCTTGGATCTGACCTTCACGAACATCACATCATCGGCAAACTGGGAGGTGGTCCCCTGTCAACTGGGTGGCAGCCACCATTACCCAATTGTAATAAGCTTCGACCAGATTGAAACAAAAAAATCCACGTTCCTTGCCAAAAGAAAATTGCTTAGCGATCTAGGTACTGTCCAGCTTGACACAGACATCAAACAAATTGAAAATATTTTAACTAATGAAATTAAAGCGTCCACCTTTGAGATCAAAGATTCTCGACGCCCTAAGTTCTGGTGGCACAAAGGGTTGGAAAAGCTCTTTAGGCTGCAATTGGCCGCGACAAAAAAGTGCAACAAATACCCGACTGCTCAAAACTTAAGAGCTGCGACTGAAGCCAAGGAAAATTGGAAAAATGCGGTAGAAGAAGCCAAAAAAGAAAGTTACAACAAGAACCTAAACCTCCTCAATAGTCACCCAAATACTAGAGAAGCATGGAAATTTGTCAAAAATATGAAAGGTGCCGGATCCACTGAGTCTAAGCAACCGTGGGACGATACCAATGACGCTTTGTACCTTCAACACCTAAAAAATCAGGTGAGTGATGAAGACGATACAAAAGAAAAAGTAGAGCGGAAAGTTGCTTGCGCAGACAAAGTTCCTATGTTTGAGGACAACGAGCTCAAAGGTGTACTTAAAAATAAGACTAAAAGGTCCGCGGGTGGGTGTGATCAGATCACATATGAAATGCTTCGATCCTTGCCGGAAACAGCGACAAAAAATTTACTAACTGCACTAAATGATGCCTTCGCCAAGTGTGAAATTAATGACTCTTGGCGTAAGGTAAGAATCGTCCCAATCCCTAAGGCAAACAAAGACCTAAGTGACTATAAGAATTTCCGTCCAATTTCACTTATATCGGTGCTAGTTAAGTCTATAAACCTCATGATTAAAGGCAGACTGGAAGGCTTTTTAAACGACAAAAATATTTATCCAGAGAGATCGTATGCGTATAGGAAAGGAAAGTCTGCGGCAATGTGTATCAATGATTTTCTACATAAAGTTGCCAGCTTAAAACATGCAGGCAAAAAGGCAGTAGTTCTGACGCTTGACATAAGCAATGCCTACAACTGTGTTACCCTAGGTAAGCTGCAGAGCCTGCTAGGGAACTTTGAAATACCAGATACGTATATAAAATGGATTATTGATTTCTTTGGCAAAAGAATTCTGCACCTGGGCAAGGAGTCCATAATAATAGAAGATGGCCTGCCACAGGGCAGCTGTCTATCGCCGCTACTCTTTAATTTATATACAAAAGAACTACACAGTATTGGGGACTCAGGGACAGACATCTATCAGTTTGCAGATGACTTTCTGATCCTATCGCACGGAAGCAATTGTGACATGGTGAGACAAAACCTTGAGCAGAAGGCCAAACAATTTTATGATATTTGTACCAAACTAAATTTGTCGTTCAACATACAAAAAACTAAGCTAATGTACATCGCTAAAAGTAATAGGCAAGATGTACAAATCAAAATAAATGAAATCCCTATTGAACAAGTGAGACAAATTAAATTCATTGGTAGAACTATAAACTCGTCGCTGACGGTAGGCCCGCACTTCCAAAGGTTAGTGAATGACACAAAGAAAAACGAAAACTTCTTGAAATGTCTTACTCCAGTGAAAACAGGTATAACACCAAAAGTGGCTGTTAACCTATATAAAAGCTTCATTAGGTCCAAGGTCGAAGTTGCAAGAACCACGGCTGCAAGGATACCGAAAACAATAAACAAGAAAATTATGACTTTTCAGAATGCCACCTTACGTAGATGTCTAGCCTAGCGTATGCCTTACACCTTCAACTCCAGTTCACACTATATATGTTTTAGCAAATGAACTTGAACCTCTGGAGAGGGGTAAATATCTAACTAGTAGGGAGTTAGTGAAGATAATGTTTGACAATCCGACTCTCTTCAACAGCGTAAAAAAGGATTTCTACCCAGAATCCAGTTATAGCTTAATATATCACGAATTCAAAAATACTTTCGATAAAATTGATACAGACTGCACCTTCCAAAAAAGCGTAGGTATGACAGTATTGGCGAAACCCGAGCTAAGGAAAAAAGATACGACCAAAGAACAATTTAAGGCAGAATATAATCAAAAGATTGACTTTTACAAGAACAACAAATTTTCTATCTTTGCAACTGATGCTTCAGGGGGCGAAACAGCCATGGGATGTGGAGTATATAATGTCACACATAATCAAAAATTTTTTTTCAAGATCAACTTTAAAACTTCCTCGGCCTTTGCAGAAGCATGGGCTATTGCCAAGGCAGTGGACATTGCTGTTGAGGACGGGTTGAAGAACATCGCAATTTTCACTGACAGTTTAGTAGCATGCAATTGGATAGAGAAAGAAAAGTCCAATAACTACATAGTAGCTCGCATACACAAACGCCTAAGTAAGGGGGGAATAAACTGTGTCCTAACATGGACTCCGAGCCATGTGGGAATACAAATTAATGAGACTGTGGATGAAATGGCAAA